TGAAAAATAAAACTGGTCTTGCTTGAAGCTCTGGAAAGACTTGTTTACTGAGCGCAAAGATAGATAGGCCTGAAGCACCGACAGGACTTTATGCTTCAGATCCTGCCATCCTTGTGTAATAAATATACATTATGAAATGCTAATAGGATGTGTTGTACCTGCTTCCTCTTGCTGCATGTATTTTTATTAATGGAGAAACCAACCATCTCGATCTCCTGAGCCTTCCTCATTACGAGGCAGCTTTGGTGATCAGTCCTGTGAAGAATTCGCTCTGCAGTTTTCTATTTCTTCACCCCAGCTTTATTCTAGGTTTAGGTACCAAGGCTGGGGGCAAATAAAAAGGGAAGCTCATCCTCAAAAATTTCACAGATGAGCAAGTCAGTAAGGAAACCTGGCTTTTATGGAACAAGGTTTCTGACAGTGGTGGTGTGAATAAACCCTGCAATTCCCTGGATTTCAAAAGGAAAATAATGTGGCTGTTGATATATAGGGAGGTAACATGTTTACTCTTGCTATCCCTACAAAAATGTGAACTCTTTGATTTCATCATCACACTCTTTTCAGGGCTGGGACTTCACTCAGCTAATTAAATTTGGATTAGACATTAAATAGATGAGACTCTCATATGAGAATATAGATAAAAACACTTATTAAATCAGTAGATAAGCTATATGTGATGCAGAGAGGCATTAAGTAGACAAGTATGTATGATAGGGGGAGAGTAAATAGGTGTGTGTGTAGACATTGATCATCTAGATCAGGATGTATAAAGCAAGTAGGTAAATATGTGCAGAGCTAGATGAACATGCATAAGATATACAGAGACTTAAAATGTGTGATAAATATGAGTGTATATAAATGGCAGAAAAATGTAGAGAAAGTAAAGTAGGGGTAAATAGATATGAATGTGATTGATGAATCATGCATGGATAGCTTTGTACATGATAGAGAGATACATTAGACAAATAGCATGTATAAAACAAATAGAAATATATAGGATAGATTAAATGTTTGAGATATAAATGAGATGAGTGTATATGAGATAGGTTAGCCAGAGAACCATCCAGTGGGGAGGCTGGCATATTGCACTGATGATAAGTAAGTTTGGGATATAGTCAATAGATCGGATAGGTAAATTAGAGTGTATAGAGAGGTAAAGCAGATATTGGGCAGGTACATTAATCTGGTGGACAGAGTTGGTAGACAGACAAAATGGATAGCTAGCTGCAAGAAGACAGGTGTATGGAGAAGACAGGTGTGTAACTAAATATGGGTAACAGCTGTATGAGTAGGTATTTGGAACAGATAAAGATAGGCTATACAAATAGAGAAGTATGTATAACACGTGTGGGGTGGGTAGAAAATTTAGATATGGGGTAAGTGCCAGGTCTCATATATGTACCAGGTAGACAGGTAGCTGAATATATGTGGAATAAAGAGAGAGCCACCTAAATGTATAGGTACGGAGACAGCAGCTACCTGAGGACCAAGCAGTGCTCAGCTTTGACTAGGGAGTGAGGAGCTGCGTTCATGAGCAAATGTCAAAAATGCCAAGAGAACCATAAACGAAAACTTTTGAATGTGCACAAACCCGAGATGTCCCAGCAGATCATGCTCATGCCTATCCCGACCCTTAGTCCCCGACTATTGCTGCTTCGTTACATGCTGGTGTCCTTCCCTCCTTCATCCTGTGATTCTGCAGTGCCCTATGGCTGTATTCCTCCCCTCATTGCAATACGGGATTTTGACAGGAACATCTTGTTAATGTATTTGTGTTTCCAAAGCACTCATGTTTCCCTGAGTGCACCTTGGAGCTCTATGGTCCTGAAGCCCTTTGAAGTGGTGAGCTCTTCATGTTCACCTGTTGGAGAGCTCCAGATGGCCAGAAAGGCCTCTCTGCTGGCATGTGTTAGTGAGCAAAGACCGAGTGGTCCAAGCCTTATTCGTGCTTCAGGTATGTGACAGCTTTGGTTTAAAGCACCTGCGTTTTGAGTCATGGGGGCTGCTTGTACAGCTTGGTCTAGGGCTTCACCGAGTGCAGAATAAGCTGTGGGCCCTAGGAAAAGATCCCAGTGACAAATGCTCAGGGACTGTCAGCATCACCTCTGACCCTTTCAAACTGTCTAGTTTCCTTAATTCCTGGGCTTGAGTGGAGTTTGGAGTGAGTAGCTTGAGGCATGTTTCATGGGGGTGGTCCTGGGTTTGGCTTGGAAGAGGCATAGCAAGGCTGAAATCTCCAGCGCCTGCCTCACGCAGTCACCTTTGAACATCTCTCCCCTGAACTGATCCCCTTCATTTTTGTTTCTAAAAACCTGCTCCTAACTCATTTATGGGCTCTTGAAAATCCTGACATTAATCTCCCCTACTCAGACAGGTGTCACTTTGAAGCCTGCAAACTAAATTCCTTTGTGCTTCTAAAGGACATTTCTTGTTTCATATGAGGATTGACTTTTGTTTCTTGTCTGTTAGCACGTGGATTTTCCAGAACCTCTTAAACTGCCATGTGTGAGTTGGGCTGACACCCAGGAGCAAAAATGTCTTTACACGAAGTTTTGTTGCACCAAGTTACACCTGGCTGTGGGCCTTGCTGCCAGGAGAAGATGGCTCTGCGTTTGTTTAAATAAATTGGGCTCAGCTGTGCAATCTCTGCTCACATGGTGAGCATTTAAACCCATAAGTAGCTCTGCTGATCTCCACAGGAGGATTTGTGGGGAAGAGTCTCTTCAGGAGAACTTTTTGCAGGAAATGAAAAAAAAAGTCCATTTTCTTTTCTAATTTAATGTTCCTAGAGCCGTTGTGGAATCTCTGTCCTTGGGAGGTTTCAAGAGGAGGCCAGACAAACACTTGGATGAGATAATTCTGCCTTGAGCAGGGGTTTGCACCAGATGACCTCCTGCAGTCCCTTTCAGCCCTGTTTTTCTACAAGTCTATGATTTTTTTTTCAAAGCAAATGGACCACTTTCTAAACTGCTTTTTTTTTGTTTTTTGTTTTAATTGGAAAAAGTGGGAACTTTGGAAGAAATGGCATTTTTACAAAATTCCAATGAGGGGGGAAAAAGGCTATTTTTCCTTTGGAAAGAAATGTTTATGTTTAACAGTTCCACTATTCGAAGCATGTTCAGAGCGGAATGTGGCCGCTCGTTTGTTAATAAGAGTGCAGCTCGCTGAAGCCATTCTCACAATATTGAGTTGCAAAAGGAGATTTTATTTGTGGCTGTAGATGCTTTACGTATGAGCTGCAGATTTACCAAAGTTTACTTAAAATGGTTTATTTCAAGCTAAATTTGAGTGGGTTCTTTCATATCTTTTGGGTGTATGAAAAGGAAAATATTTTGAAGCAACCAGCATAAAAGATGCTTATGTTCAAACAAATCTATGAAGCGTGTGTAGGCAGTGCCGTTCTTAACGCCGTTTGATAAACAAATTCTTACTTTGCCGAATCGCTGTGTATTTTTTTTTGCAATTCTTGTATAAACCCTTTTTATGAGCTTTAATATCTTGGCTGTTTGATGGGATTGAGTAAAATTTTCACATGCAAGTTGCCAGTTTGGATCAAACTGTTGTCCCAAAATCTTGTTTTAAGCCGCAAAGTCATTTTATTTTTATATACAATGGTGAAATAAAATAATAGGGCCTGAATCTGTGCCTGTTGCAAATAATGGCAAAATCCTCATACACAGACTCGATGTGATGGCTATCTGTTTGCCGGGTTCCAGGGGCTTTTATTGCGAGTTTGCTATGTTATGTTAGGGCATGTCCGAGTGTTATTTTTCCTATACAGATTCAGTGTTGAAACATCCTTTTAATTTAAATGGGACTGACTGTATGTCGTTTGCTGAGTTCCAGGCAGCAGATAATGACAAACATGTAGCCTGGTGTTAAAATGACCAGAGCTTTCTTTAGGAACCACTGAAACCCAAACAAACAGGTTGTCCTTGAAGACCGGACCTGACTGTTTTGCACTGGAGCCCTTTGCGGGTATGGGAACCCATGGCCCTATCCGCTGAGTAAAGACACAGCTGGACCTGGACTGTTTTACACTGGAGCCCTTTGCTGGTATGGGAATGCATGGTCCCATCAGCTGAGTAAAGACACAGCTGCTGATGCTTGGTAAATGGCAATAATTCCCTTGAAGATACTAACAGAGTTAAACCCTAACTCAGTATCTCACTAGATTGGGTTTATGCCCGTTCATGGGGGACAGCAGAGGACCCTGCACTGTCAGCCCTTCACCTCCCTGCACCAGTAGTGCTGCTAGTCGCAGCAAGGAGCCACACTTAGACACAGAGCTGAAACCTGCCTGCACCTAGGAGCTCTGGGGGACAGTGAAAGGGGACCAGCTGACCTGTACTTGAGCTACTGCCAGGCGGTAGGATACAGGGAGTCTGTTGCCATGGCTGCTCGCAGAGCGCTGGCCTGACAACCTGATGCCCCAACAGCTATATTATTCTTGCTATTCCATGTGGCAATATTACCTCCTCTGTAAAGTGCCTTGAGAACTACTGATGGAAAGTATTAGCAACAGTAGCATATTACTTTACTGTAAAGTGCTTTGGAAATCGGTGGAACAGGCAGGTACTTTATTCCCTTGAAAAAGCAGTGAGCCAGCCACTAGAGAGGATCAACTCTGCTCTGCAAAGAGCCTGGTTGCTGATGTTTTTTCAAACCTCTTTCAAGCCAGTTCGCAGATTGACACTGTGGTGATAAGAACCACTTTTCAGGGCCCAAAGTCATTTTTTTTCCATTGGCCACTGGTCCAGTTTTCTCCAGAATGACCAGACCTCAGGATGCCTGTCCTGATAAGCACAGCCTGGAAATCTAAGTGCAGAGAAAGGATCTAGCCCTGGTGTCCAGCTGTTGTGTGCAAAGTCTTGGAGCTGACAGGCCCTTTACCACAATACCACAGTTTAAACCAGCCTCAAGCTTTGGTTAGGCACAATGCTTTGAAAATAGCAAGGCTTCCTCCTAGGGTATGAAACCAGGGACCATGAGAAAACATGTTAAAAATAACACAGAAGTGCTAAAGAAAATTAACAAAAAGGAAACTCAGGGTTAAGGACAGGCATTCTCTTGCCCTGATGTATGGTTATTAATGCATATGTGGTAGCATAGAGGAGCCGGGTCTGTTTCCCTCTGCATGGAAGGTTATTAGTGCCCACGGGTCCAATATGTAGCTTGTGCATGAGAATATATGTATATATATTACGAATATATTAAGAAATTACAAAGCAAAGGAGGAAAAATAATCCTCCCCTGATGGCAGGAGATGTTTCCTTGTGGTGTTGGCATCTGAATCATGCCCTATAGCAAAATGGCATGAGGACCAGGAAAACGTGGCTGCCAAGACTAGCAAGCTGCCTGGCAGGCTTCAAGCCCAGAGAAGAGCAAGGGGTAAATGGCTTTGAAGGTAAATAGGTCTTTGCATGTTTTTATTTAGTTATTTTTTCTCAGCACCAGGTATTGCTGCTGCGGCGGATGTGCTCGGAGAGCTGAGAGAAGCTCCCATCTTTTGGCCGGAGCAAGAAGAAGGAAGGATGAAGGGATCTAGCGGAGACTTTAATAGTCGCTGCTAACAAGAGGCCTATCTGGGGGTTGGGGACAGTTTGAAGGCTTCTTCTATGGAAATACGTGTGTGTGTGTGTGTGTGTGTGTGTGTGTGTGTTGTGTTCTCCTATGGAAATACATATGGGGGTGTGTGCGTGTTCTCCTATGGAAATAGGTGTGTGTGTTTACAGAGCATACCTGGACCTGCAGCTTCACCTTCCCTGCACTCTCCTTGGTCTGATTCCCCGGGGAGGCAGGGAATGGGGCTGATCCGGGCCCCCAGGTTCCCCAGCCGCCGCCTGCAAAGGTGCTGGAAGGAGCCGGCCCTGGTCCCGGCGCTGCTGGGCTGAAAGCTGCTCACACACCGCTGCGTGGCCGGGGCAAGGGGTGGGGGGACTCTGGGGCGCTGGCGATGCCTGGGGACCCCGCGACCCTGCTTGATCCCCAGGCCCAGCCAGGGGCCTCTCCCGGGAAGCCTGGGCGGGAGTCGGAGGCGTCCGCAGAGGCGCAGCAGCACAAGGCGGCGCGGGTCCAGCGCAGAGGGATTTTCAGAGCCGGCTCCCCAGCAGGTTTCTCCCCCTCCCCAAGAAGTTTCACTCAAAAGCGGTCGGAAGCCTCCTCCCTCCCTCCCTCCCGGACGTGGTCCCGGGGCCCCAGCAGCGCCCCCCGCCCCGCTCCGCGTTGCCATCGCGGGCAAAGGCTGGGCCAGGGCGCGCGGCGCGGCGCGGGGCTGCGCGGGGCGGGGTTGCCGCGGGGACCCCG